CTTCTCTTTCTTTGTGAATTTTGGACATCTAGAGAGTCTAATAAAACACAGATAAATATAGAGGATTTGTTCACATAAGAATGAACTTGTGCAAGTAATTTTATTTTGTATTAATTAAAATATCTTTGGCTCATATATAAATATGATTTTTGTTATGGTAAGATACACACAATGTAAAACTAATCATTGTAACCATTTTAAGTGTGTGCTTAATGATATTAACTACATTCATAGTGAACCATTGCCACTATTCATCTACATAACTCTTTCATCTTGTAAAACTGGAACTCTGTACCTGTTAAGCAGTAACTTCCTCTTTGCTACTCCCTTTGCTACCTCTGGCAACCAACATTCTTCTTTCTGTTTCTAAGAATTTGTCTACTCTTAGTACTTAATTCATTGTAAGTAAAATCATACAGTATTTATGTTTTATATATTTTATGACTGGCTTGTTTCACTTTGCATAGTGTTTTCAAGATTCATTCATGTTAGAATGTATTAGGTCCCTTCCTTTTTAAAGCCAATATGCTATTGTTTGAATGTATCACATTTTGGTTAGCTTTGTGTGTGTCGATGGGCACTTAATTTACTTCCACATTTTGGCAATTGTGACTGAATAATGCTGCCATGAATATGGGTGTTCAAATATATATTTAAGAATTGTATTAGGGAAGTAAGTTTGTAGTTTTCTTATAGTGTCTTTTACTGGCTTTGGTATCAGTATAATGCTGATTTCATTGAATGAATTAGGAAGTTTTCCTTCCTGTTCATTTTTTTTTTTTTTAAAAGCATGAGAAGGATTGGTTTCAGTTCTTCTATTAATGTTTGGTAGAATTCATTATGAAGCATCAGATTCAGGGCTTTTGTCAGGAGATCTTCAATTTAATCTCCTTACTTGTTATAAGTCTATTTGGATTTTCTATTTCTTCATGATTTAGTTTTGGTAGGTGTTCACAATTTGTCCATCTAGGATCACACACAGTGTTACTCATATGTAGCTTTTATTTTTTAAAATTTACTTTCCTTTTGTTACTAGTTTGTTGATTGTTTTAATCATGAAAATGTGTTGAATTATGTCATATGCTTTTTCTGGATCAACTTAGGTTATCAAGTGTCTCTCCACCCTTACCAATTCTGTGAATGTGGTGTATTACATTGATTATTCATATGTTCAATCATCCTTGCTTTCCAGGAATAAATCCCTTCTGGTTTTGGTGCATAACCTTATTAGTCTGCTGCTGCTTCAGTTTGCTAGTAATTTGTGGATTATTGTGTCATTTAAAAGTCCTCTATTTCCTTACATATGTCTGGTTTTTCTATCCATTGAGCATGGAGTATTTAACTCCATTATTATATAGTTCCTTTTTTCTTTCATTTCTTCTTTATGTGTAGTCTTCATTTCATAGTCTTTCATTGGGCATATGATGTTTATAATTGTTATATTTTATTTCTATAGTGAGCCTTTTGTTAATATATTATCTTCTTTGTCTCTTGTAATCTTTTTAAAATTTCAAGTCCATTTTGTTTTATATTTTTACTACAGTCTTGGTCTCTTTTTGTTACTATTTCCATGGAATATCTTTTTTCTATTACTTTGCTTTTAGTTTCTTTGTGTCTTTGTAAACAGCTCATAGTTGAATCACGAGTTTTTAAAATCCATTCTGCTAATCTCTGCCTTTGGGTTGAAGAGTTTAATCCATTTACATTTAAAGTAATTACTGATAAGGACAGACTTATTGTTGTCATTTTGACATTTGTTTTCTTTATGCCTTACAGCTTCCTTTTGCCCCTCTTCTTTTGTGTTTAGTTGATATTTTTATAGTGAAACTTTTAAATTCCTTTTCATTTTTCTTTCTGTGCATTCTGTAGCTATTTTCTTTGAGGTTACCATTGTGTTTAAACATTCTGAGGTTATATCACTAACTTGAATTTATGTCAGATAAACTTCAATAACATATAAAAAGTTGTACAAAATCTTAGCTCTATTAACCACTATGAGTCAACTGCTTTTGATTTAAAAAAAATTTTTTTTGGAGTTGTAGATGGACAGAATGCCTTTATTTTATTTTATTTTTTTGTGGTGCTGAGGATCAAACCCAGTGCCTCATGCATGCTAGGCAAGCATTCTGCTGCTAAGCTACAGCCCCATCCCTGCTTTTGATTTTTGATGTCATAAAATTACATCTTTATGTTGTGTGCCCCAAATCATAAACTGATTATTCTTTTAAGTACATTAGCATCTTAATTTAATAGAAAATGTGCATTTATAAAATAAAAGACAAAAGACAAAAAACCTCTTTACATTTCTTGCATTTTTTTTGGTTTCTCAAAATTTATAATGTCCATTGCCGTATATTAAAGTTTATAGATTCTTTCTTCTGCCTGCTCTCATCTGCCTTTGGATTCCTCTAGTGAATTTTTTTCCCAATTATTGTATTTTTCAGCTTAAGAATTTAATTTGGTTCCTATCTCTTTGGTGATATTGCCATTTTGTTTATACAGGATGTTCTTGAGCATCTTTAAGATATTTTATAGTCTTTGTTGAGTAGATCTCCCATTAGTTCTTTTTAAAGGACAGTTTCAATAAATATGTTTTTTTTTCCTTTGAATGGTTCATATTCTCCTCTTTCTTTGTATGTCTTGCCATTTTTTTTGTTTGTTTAAAATTGGGAATTTTTTCATGATAATTTGGTGACTCTGGAAATCAGATTTTCCTCCTTTTCTAGGGTTTGCTGCCTCTGTTGTTGTTATAGGTTATCTCAGTCCTAAGTATGTGCCTGGGAGTAAATGTAATGTTTACCCATACCTTTTCTTGGCCATGTACAATCATTTTGTACATGAAATTGTTTTTGAAAATTTTAGTCTTTAATGCCTTGTACCCAAAAGAGGAGAGAGAGAAAAATGAAGGAGTGGAAGGAAGGTTCTGGCCCTGAAACTCCCTGGAAGTCACTTCAGCCAAAGCAAGAGGGGCTTGAAAAATTGGAGAAGGGCAACAATAATGGCAGCTCATCTCTGTCTGCACCTCCGTGAACAGAGGAAGAAATCAGCAATAACAACATAGATTCCCAAATATTTGTAGGATAAGATCCTTTTTGACCCATCCTATGTCCTGCCAGCTTTGTCTGAGTTGCCCCATAAATATGTTAACAGCTGCCTGCCAGGGATCTGGGGTGGGGGTGGATGGGTAGCTGTAACTGTATTAAGAACTTAAATTGACTGACATTAACTACGGTTTACCGTCCATCCAAGCATTCACATAGAAGTTACAACAAGCTTTCAGTAGACTCCAGAGTTCCATGAGTCTTTTAAGGATGGGGATACTTTCTGAGAAATGCATCATTTGGTGATTTTTGTCCTTCGGTAAAAATCATAGACTGTATGGCCATGATGTCATTAGGCAATGCAGTGTTATGAAACTACTATCATATATGTGATCTGTTATTGACTGAAACTTCATTTTGTGACATATGACAGTAGTTAAATCAGATAGACTCTGTCAGTACAATTGTTGTCTAGGTGAGGAGAGAGATTCTTGGTGCTTCTTATTTTGCCGTCTTTCTAGAATCCTCCTTAAGAACATGTTATGAATTGGGAGTTCCCTAAAAGGGACAGGACAGAGGGCAGAGGATTTTATATTGTTTAAAGTAGAGGTTTTAAAGGCTCTGTATAGTGGCCTTTACTCCATATACTGGGATATTTTCAATCTTCCCAGGTTAGATTTCAGTAAGATTCCAGTGGTGATGAACAATTTATAGTGGCTTATAGTCCATTGGAACTTGAATCTATCTACTGAGAAGAGCGCATCCATCCCTTTAGGTTGTAAACTTGTTGTAAAATCCTTCCATTTGTTTTGAAGGATGACTAATGGGGAAAACTTTTAACAGTTAGCCTTCATCTTTGGACTTGTACTCACTTTGGCTTTTGTTCCTTTCATTCTTGCCATAATAAATTAAAATAATTACTTTTAAGCCAGAGATTTGTAACTTGTGATTCTTTTTTCTAGGTGTGAAACCCCAAAATTCATATGTCAAGTTGTGTGTGTGTGTGTGTGT